TGCGGGGTAGCGAGTCAACCCGACAGATCACCCCGTTGACGGAGCGCGCCACTGCGAAGGACGCCATGGATGATCCCCACGTGCTGAGGGTCGAGGATCTGACAACGACGCCGGTGTCGCGGAGCCGTCCTAACCCCGGAAAGCTCGTCCAGGCCTGACGGACAGATGACGACATGTCTGGGGGTGAGCGGCTTCTCCTGACCATCTTCCTGTGGACGGCCATCGTCAACGTCATCTTCCCCGATGGCACCTGGAGCTATCGCCAGTCATCTACGACCGGACGAGTAAGCGACTCCGCTCCTCGACACCGCAGCGGTGTGCAGTATGCCGTGAAACATCGTGCCCGGTTTAAGAACAGCAGAAAACTTGATCGCTTGCTGTGCACATCGACCTCAGGAACGGAACACGGACCGGGATCTCCGTCTCTGATCAATACTATGTGTGGATGTGACTGAGCTTGTCAAGACACCTCAACTGTGTTGCTTCACCGTCCAGAATTGTTCGCGATGTCCAAACGTTTGGACGAATGAGTTACCGCGTCAGCTACCCCGGAATTTCGGCAGCCGGAGTCATGGAGAAGACCCTGCCAGATGACCGACGGTGAGTTTCCCGTGCGAATTTCCCCAGCTCACTGGCTCATTTGGTGATGAAAAGATCCAGTCATGATTTTACGGCGGACCACTTCAAACTTCCAGCGCATACGAGCGAGGAGAGTTTGCGACGGATGGAGCGGCCAGAATGGACCCTATAGAGTGGACTAGGCCATGTCTGAAGGAACAGGAACAAAGGACATATCAGCTTCGCGTTGGTGACCCCGAAACGGCACGCGCGTTGGTGTGCGGACGAGTATGATACAACAAAGGTCGAGGAAGACAGCTCTGCCGTCTAGAAGTGTATAGAGGTGTAGCGTAGAACCTTGAGAAACAGTTGTTTGTTAATTGGAATCTGTGTATAGACTAAGGACGTAAATAAGGGTTTCCATATTTACTATTTGGTGAAAATATTTGCTGTGGAAAGGACTAAGGCTAGAGGTTTTGGCGTAGACTTTTTACGTCACGTATACCACCTTGTCACTCCTGACATTCGGGACGAGGAGGAACTCCACGATGCTCAAGACACCCTCACCCAGGACCCAGTGTGTGGGGAACCTCGGTGCTCCCAAGTGAGCGACGCCGTAGCAGTGTCAGTGCCGAGTACACCGCAACCAAATGTGAAGGACTTGAATCAACAGCATCGCCAAGATACAAGGAGGCCATTTGTCGTGAAGGACGCAACACAGTGACTCCGCAGGTCGTGGTCAAACACCTGTGACAGTGACGACGCCAGCGCCAGTACCGGCATCAGTGCTGGAACCTGTGTCAGTGCCAGTGTTTAGGTCAGCTCGTGAGCTAGGGACAGGTTCTAATCAAGAGACGAACAAACGCCACCGCCGAGCTTCCACCCGATTGCAGTGGAGCGACTTTTTGTATTACTAGTTTTTCTCAGACTTTCATTTTCTGGATCAACTTTTGCAACGGACTGAATTTGTGTATTACTGGCTTCTCTTATGGATATTTTGATTTCTCGTTCACAGTGATCAAACTTTTGTGTAGCACTGATTTATCTCACGGGTTTTGTTCTGTATATCTGAGTGAGGGCACTCAGCCCTAATTGACGGGGGATATTTGTAACGTTGAAAACGAAACTAAAATAAATGGTTGACTGACGGGCCGACAGATGGAGCCAGAAGGTTATCTAATCTACGCACGCGCTCTCTCCCTCTCTCACGAGGGAAAGCGGGACGCGTCTTCCCCATAAACTTCTGGCCTTGGAAGGATATAAAAAGAGCCACCCAGGCGTACTCGGGCGGTTGTTCGTTCCTCGCGACAGCCGGAGATTGCGTCTTGACCCAAACCTGACCTCTCCCGGCTGAAGCGTTCGGCGAGCTCTGTCGGCCCGCGCTAGAGCAACCTTAAAAGTTACTCCTCGTCTGCTGTCGTTAATTATGCGCGCGACACGGCGTTCATTTGAGCTCCATATAACACAAAACAAAGAGATGGAATCGATGAGAGTCCCTTTCTGACGACAGCCTTCGTCACCGCTGCCTCCAAAAACAAGGAGATGACAAAGGGGAGAGATCGACTTCTTAATCTAAAATTGAAGTCATCGATCAAACTATAATACGGGAAGGGTCCGCAAGGGTCGCGCGGGCGCGTATTCTATTCAGCAAGCCAGCCGTTCGTGGGCGGTCGTGGACAGACGGTCTTGGCCAAGGACCGTCGGAGCAACGCTGCGCCGAGTCAGAGTGCCTGCTAGGCTTAAATCCTGCCGAGCTCGCTCGGTCGGTGTCATCGTTGCCGTTGTAGCTTTTCCCGGGTGTTTCTGGATCCAGCGTTCGTGGTCGTCGTGGCCGGTTTCGAGTACTTCCTTCTTTTTGCTTGCTGTTTGAAATCAGGACCCGCGAGAGGAGCACGTAGAAAAATAAATGTCCGTTGGCCGTCACGACCAAGTAACTGAGCGACGTTGTCGGTCATGTTGATTTGATCGTAGAAAGACGGCTCCGGAACTGTTCTCGTACGTACATTTTTGGCGTAAGATCGTTTCGTTAATCTGGCCTCTGTTATTTAGCGCATGGCGCTGCAACAATAACACGCCGCAACCGCCGCCTCTACCGCCCCAACACTGGACACAACAACCTGCAACAAGCTCTCCGCAAAACAAAACAAAAGATATATATATATAAAATGTTTTTTTTGTTTGTTTTTACGTTGTCAGCAGTGACGTCACGGACGTCACTGCCCCATATCGACCTCCTTAAAAGGCGTCCCGCGGCGAACAGCCCCTGGCCCGAGCTCACCCCGAGCACCCGACCTGCATGCGCAGCTGCGAGCATGCAACTCGTTTGTTCCGGCAAAATTCTGCGCCATCTATAAGGAAAAATGCTACGAATAAATAGCGGTTGAATTTCCCTAAATACTGGGAAGTTAAACACCGCTCACTGATCGAAAACATACTATAACTAAAGCAATTTCACTTTTATAATTTTAATAAAGTTACGTACTATTCGCTACGGCCCGAGTAACAAAGGTAATAAACATTTTGCTGAATTACTTAGACACCAAGAAGCATGCGTGCTGCCTTGTGCAGCCATTAACTGTTCGAAAACAAAAACCCAAATCAAATCGCGCTTGGCACGCGTTATCATCAGCGCTTTGGTTATTTATACCTACTTCGAATCTTTTATACAGATAAGGCGAGCGCGAGCAGCGCATCTACGTACGTTCCCAGCATTCTCCTTGATGCTTCGGTAAGTTGGCAAGATGTCTATTCCTCTTATTCTCCGGTGAAGAGACAAAATGCAAGCGCGTTTTCTCATATAAATGCACACCAATAGACCGATCTCACCAGCTATAGTTTGAATACGCCACCGCTGCCGACATGCATCGTGGGAGCTGTAGTCTTTCTGCACGCGCGACAAACCTGCTGGAGGTCTGCGCGAGCAGGGCACGAGGCGGCATGAGCTACCTCGTGAGCTGGAGTCTGCCTCCTACGAACTACAGTTACGGCGGTGTCACGCATGCGTGGAACGCTTGGTGAGATCGGTCTATTAGAGGAGGTACACCTCCCCGAATTGGTACAGCCACGCTTCATAGGAAGCACACATTTTCTGGTGACTTTTCGTAATGTAACGTAGAAAAACAGGTCTGTGTGAACGAGCCTCAACGGAGCAGTACTCGCTGGTCGCACGTGTTTTGCGCGTTCGCACACCAATGGTGAGCGGCACTTGCAATGCATCATTTACAAGTCCCAGTAGAGCGACGAACAGAAACAACCGACACCAACAAGCCTCAAACACGTGCAGCATGCACACGATGGTATCTTTGGCAGGCTTCCAGTATCTCGATGCTCGTGAAATAAACGCGAGTGATTGCAAGCCTACCAAAGGTACGCTCGCGTGCACGATGCTCGTGTTAGAGGCTTATCGGTGTCGGCTGTTTCTCGCTCTAGTGGGATCGGTGGCCGAGTGGGCTAGCGCATACTATAGACGCTTTACACACGCGCCAAATTACAGCCGCCATTGCTGACCTTCTCTTGTCTTACCGAGATGCCTAGCAACTGAAACGGTAGTTGGCGATCCTCTACAAAGGCCGATGTTTTAGAAAAGGACACTGTTGAATCTAATATGGCAATAACCTGGCCTGCTGTGGTAATAATGAAGTGAAATAAACGGAATAAGAGGAAACAAAAACTGAAGGTCAGTTATGGCGACGTCCATGCACAGCTGCTGCAAAGCGTCTATATAGCGCGAGCGGCTATCCTTGACTGCCTTGACTGGAGCACTCGCTGCACGAGCGCTCGTGCTCCCGCCACGGCTTCATCCAAAGCAACTAACTCGCGTTTTTAGCATGCGCGGCAAGCAATAGTCCATGCTAAGGTGAGACGAAGTATTAGCGCCGAGATGTTTAAGTGGCGCCCTCTTATGGTTTCCATCCGTGACGTCAAGACTGGGATTTGCCTCGCCGTGACGTCAACGGTTGGTACCCTGGCTACTCACCTTCAGGTGCGACGACGAGTTCGATGGTGTGTTTAAAAAGCACAGTGCAATCTAAGAACCATCGCAATCCGAAACTAACACCGCCAAAGTTAACAACCTGACAAGGTCCATATGCCCATGGTTCGGCCAATCGTGGAAAGCTGACCGCAGCGACGCTTTTGGTCGCGCAGATCGAAAGCTCGCGCTGCAGAACCTAGGATCCTGGGTTAAATCCCCAACCCTGCCCGTTTCGATCTGGATGATCGAAACGGGCAGGGGCAACGGTCGTCTACCACTACTGCGTGGTGCACGTTAAAGACCCCAGGTTAGCGGTGTGTACTGCACTGGCTAAATTTCTCATACACAGCTGATCGACAAGTCGCCCGTTGAGGCAGGCTAAGTTTTTAGCTGTAGAAACAAACACACCAGATTTTTTTTTAATAATGAGTATTATTTATTTAGACTACCGAGCGCAGAAGCGTTTCATTTATTTTCCGAGAGGGTTGTTAACCCACGGATAGTTCTTGGGACATAAAGCGCTGCAAGTCCGCATGTACCGTGCACTACCGAACTGCGTCTCTAAGAATGGGCAGTTCATCGACTTCATACAGGTGGGCTCGGGCACGGACTTCATGCAATGGCGCTGCTTGTAGGCGCCGATGGGCTTCGGGTTCCTCATGAACTCGAGCACTTCAGAGACGGTGACCAAAAAGACGTCCTCCTTCTCGAGCATCCAGTCCACGAAGCGGAGGTAGCCTTCCTCCCGTGCAGGGTCCCTCAACCAGGCCTCGTGGACGAACACAGGCAACGGGGCTCGGTTGACCTTGTAGAAGGCCTCGAAGTTGGACCTGCACATCGAGTATAGGGTTAAAATGCACCCTGATGCGTGGAATCAAAACGACACAGAAGTGCCATCTTCATCCTGGAACTTCTGCGGCTTAAGGACTGGTTCACACATTTGGGTTTAACTGTGCCGATTGTGTTTCGATATCTTGTAACCGTTTTTTTTTATTTGTTTATTTACATAATAGAAGGTACACCCTGGTTCTCTCAATCGTCTTAGCCGGAACGGGAGAACAAATAATGGAATAGGTAAAATAGGTGAATACGTCGTGCATTTTTTCTATAAAATTTGCAAAGAGCAAACCTATTTGAGGAAAATCAAAAAAAAAAAAAAAGCTTTTACGAATCGCAGCGAAGCCACCGGTCTTCACTTAATAGGGCGCCGTTTGGCACGTGAGACAGGAGATGGCGCAAGCGGTCGAGAAACCAACTGCCGCCAACAAACGAGCATACGGCGCCGAGAGCCGGCGTCTTTAGCAGACAATCTTTCCGACTCAAAAGCGGCGCGCGTTCCGTAGGCGGCGACAGTCGTAGAAGCAAAAACAGGCGCGGTAACAACAAGGAACTGCAAAGCAGACGACATAAGTACCCCGAAAAAGAAACAGTTAAAATAACCCGACAAACCATATTTTAATCGATTATGTGTCCATTGAATGTGTTTTATTAGTAAGGATGATACCATTATGCACTGGCAACTGACATCGAAAAAGTTCGCGCCGCTTTTGAGTCGGAAATTTTGTCTCCTATACAATTGACGCCGGCTCTCGGCGCCGTATGCTCGTTCGTTGGCGGCTGTTGGCGTCGCGACCGCTTGCGCCATCTCTTGTATTCTGTACCGAACGGCACCCTATTGTTTGAAAACCGGTGGCATCGCTGCGTTTCTATATTAGTTCAGCCTTTTCCATCTTTTTTTTTTTTACTTTTTCCGCAGATAAGTTCGCTCTTTGCAAATATTATATAAAAAAATGCACCACCTGTGCGCAACGCTGCACAAATTCGTAGCGCGATAGGTTAAGAAACCGATTTTTGCAGGCGATTTAAAGAGCCTGGCCGCTATTTTAGAGGCCCTGTAGATATTCCTAAAAATAATACGATTAAATAGACAAATAGTAATTCTTTATTTCTAGTGGAATTATTACCCAAGTATGATGTACATACAGAGCACAGTCAACTGCTTAGCGGGCCAAAAACTCCGTACGTCTAATCATATCTAGCCACGTAATCATTAACCTAAGGTTGAATATGGTCAGCTGAACAATTACAAATTAGAAAAACCCCGAGAGGAAAGACAAACACACCGCTGACTATCAACTTGCTGCCTTTAATACTTCGTCTTTCTTTTTTTCCTCTTTACTACAGCTAGTGATGAAAGCCATCCCACATGTCCGCGCGATGCACCCGGGGTATTCACACGAGGGAGAAATCCCCGGGATTTCTCCCCGGCACGCGCACCCCACGACGAAAACGTCAGGCTTTGCGATGTGCAAAAGCCTCGCGTTTTCATCTCGTGATGCGCACGTGCCGGGGAGAAATCCCCGGGATTTCTCCCTCGTGTGAATACCCCTTTATACTCTGTTTCACCTTATGATGTACCGCAGGAAAGGCTACAAGCGCGAGCCCCTTGCTCTGGGGCACATCTCGGCGGCACAAGCTCTCGTGATTTAAGAGCAGCTGCCAACGCTATGAGCTCGCGCTTATAGCCTTTGCTGCGGTACAACATAAGGCGAAACAAAATATAGGGTGGTATGCGGCTCGTGCCACTTCGCAAGTATTGTTTTTATTTCGGGTGGATTGTGATAGACAGGGTGCTCACGCACATTTGAGCACTGTCTTCGATGGCCAGGGCTTCAATTAGTTCACGTGCATATGCGTTCCGGTGCCGCCCTATAATGGTGATGTTGTTAAAATTAAGAGTGCACTTGCAGGACCGGTTATGTGCAAAAAGATGTCCTGCCGAGATTCCTTTAACAGAAGCCGCGTGCTCCCAAGCTCGATCGTCCACACACCGCCCCGTTTTCCCTATGTAGCACCAGCCACAGGAAAGATTTGTTGCAAGCTACAAATCGAAGAAACGTAGCGGTCATACCCTACATCCATGAACTCACACACAACCTAAAAAAGATTGCCGGGAGGCATGATATTTGGGTTCTGTGCTCGGCATCAAACAAGGCCTACTCCATGTGCCGAAGAACTAATCGAAAAACAAATCAAGAGAAGAAGCAATGCACAATTGCTCACAGGACGCAATACACCCCGTGCCAAAGCGGCGTTGTGTACAACATACCGCTTTCCTGTGTCAGGTGCTACATAGGGCAGACGGGGCGGTGTGTGAACAATCGACCTAGGGAGCACGCGGCTTCTGTTAAAGGAACATCGGCAGGACATTTTTCTGCACATTGCCGGTCCTGCAAGTGCACTCCTAATTTTAACAACATCAGCATTATAGGGTGGCACCGGAACGCATATGCACGTGAACTAATTAAAGCCCTGGCCATCAAAGAAAGTGCTCAACTGTGCATGAGCACAGTTGAGTCTATCACAATCCACCCGAAAGAAAAACCATACTTGGGAAGTGGCACGAGCCGCATACCACCCTAATGGGTGCATCGCGCAGACATGGGGGATGGCTTTTATCACTAGCTGTAGTAAAGAGGAAAAAAGGAAGACTAAGTATTAAAGGCAGCAAGTTGATAGTCAGCGGTGTGTTTGTCTTTCCTCTCACGGTTTTTCTAATTTGTAATTGTTCAGCGGACCATATTTAAGTATGTACCAACTAGCTCAAGTAAAACCTGTAGTAACCTAAGGTGTTTCTTTTCTTTGTCTTTTTTTCTTTTTTTCTTGCGCGTGCCTTGCCGGTTTTTTTTTTTTTTTTTTTTTTTCTTGGGGGGGGGGGGATAGCACTTTGGACTTTGTTGCGTTTCGTTACAATATCGTCGACAAGTTCAGAAGCCGATATCTCAAAGGCGTGCCGCAAAGGACGTGTGCGCAAACCTCCACTCGAGTCCCGCTAGAACAAACATCACAATCTTGCCAGGGGATTTCGTCACAACAAAAGTGCCATCTCTGACGCCACACTGACACCGAGACAGCATCAATCTTTCGGAGGAAAGACTGATGCTGTCACGTACACATTTTCCCTCCCAGCGCACTCAAGGGCTGGTGAGCACCACGGAAGCACGCATACATGGACTAAAAGCTGAAGGTGTACCGGTGCAGCGTCGGCGATTAAATGTGGATCCTCATCATCACCCTAATCCTTCTTCAACCACGGTGGAAGTATGAAGAGGTATAAAGAGGTGTCTGAACGGCCCCACCTCGCCACGGAACAACTGTGACGAAGGTTCGCTCGGATTTCTCACAAACACCGCGAGATGGCGCAGCATGTAAGGGGCCGAATAGACCTCATATGGGAGCCGTCCTCACTTCCTCACACGTTCACAAGGCAGCGCGGCGCGCAACAGCGCCTGCGCAATGTCCCAAACGGACAGTGCTTCTGCTGGGAGATGTCTGAACCCGATCAGTCATTTTCCGTCTTGGCTGGCCTTGCTCAGACACCACCTCTATCTTCTTCTTCTACCATGGGTCACACTGCAGAGCAACACACCTGAGGTAATCGAAGGTCTCGTTGGCGCTCGTCGGGTGAGGCACGCAACCGTCTACCATTGGACAAGGCATCCTCATGAGCTTCCCGTCGACGTCCCTGTCCTTGAAGAACACGTTGAGGGGAACCTCCCAGAGGCCCGGGTAGGAGTCTTGAGGACACGGACCGACGACGCAGGCCCTCTTGAAGCCGTAGTCCAAGGTGTACGGGAAGAACGGAGGTTCTTGCGGATAGCGCTGGTGGACCAGGGAAGAGTCGAACGTCAGGTGGCGCTGAAGCATCCGGAATCCATTGTCACCGCCGGTGAGGAGGAAAGGGGCTCGGAAACCATTCACGTCCTTGGCGGGGACGTCGGCGAACTTCTCGATCATCTTCCGCTCGTCCACGACCTCGCGTTCCCAACCGGCCGTGTCTAGATTGTTCCAGTACTCCGGTGAAGTCTTGTGGCTTCAATAAGGCCGTCACGAAAGAAAAGAAAAAAAGAAGGGGGAAAAAGGGGGGGATTAGGTCTTTACCCTTCACTCTGCGCGAATTAGCGTCGAGATGTTTTATAATAATTTTATTTGAACTTCTTGAGTCATGGGTGGGGCGGTGAAAGGTAAACCAGCTTTACCTGACTAGGCCCAACCACCCTTGTGCATTGCTCAGCAATGCAGTGTAGTAGAGGGAAAAAATAACACATAAACAAGCACATAATTATTCTATAAAGACCCCATTCCTTTATACAAGGTAGACGTATCTGGGGAAACATTACGTAATAATACATATAATAGTAAGTGAGGTCACCGGAATAAATAACGGCTGGTACGCTCATACGCAAGGATCTTAAACCTACAACACATAACTAAAATTATTCCTATACATAATGACATAATAATAATAATAATAATAATAAAATTATTTGTGACGGAAGAACATAATCGAGGCAAAGTGCAGGTTCCCCAAAGCCATCATGAGCTTGTGTGGCAAAACCAGCTATGTAAATTGAATGAAAATAAAAAAATCAGTTCTAGATAAAAAAAGAAAAGCAGAATTATCACCAAGTTTTTACAGCAGTTCCAATCTGCATACTAAAGCTCCCCCCTGCCCCCTTCCCTTTCTAAAGGAAAAAATCAAGTCAGAAAAGTATTAAAAACACACACACACACATAATGCACTGGCGTCACTCTTCGCTATTGTTCGCCATTGAAAGTATAACTTCGCATTATTACTAAGTTAAACCCGTAAAATGCAGAAAAGAATGGGAAAGTATATGCAGGATGTCAACACAGTTTATAGATATTTTCAAACACACAATAGAACAAATTGAAACAAGCAGTCAGTTGCATATTGGCTCAAAGAGTCGTCACGTTAGTCTCTAAAATTCCGAAGAGAAGTAGCATTGCTTTATTAATTCGATTGTTTCAGGGTATTCGTTTAAAAATCCAGTTAATTTATGGGATAACAATTGAGATTCATAATTGGTTCATATTCTTGGCTTAACGTAAACCACATTTCTGAGATGATATTCTGAAATGCGTCCGGATCACAGCGATTTTGCCATATATTGTCACCGAGAGTTTGAAAAAAAAAAAGAAGAAAAAAATCCGTTCAACATTTAAAAGTTGGTGTTTCGCAAAATACAGTATGATCGGTATAATGGAGGTTCTCAATGCAGAAAGCCTTCCTTTTGCAAAACTAGCAGCCTATCTAGATAGGTGGCGCCCTCATGTGGTTTTCGTTTGTGACGTCACGACTACAATTATTCTCGCCGTGACGTCAGGAGTTGTACTTTTTGATCACTTATCATGGGTTGTGAACTGCAAGTTCGATGGTATGCGCAAAAATAACGATGGAAGTTTGGAGTAATCGCATACCTTAACCTACATCGCCACGGTAACACTCTGACATTGCGCTGATTTCCCGCAATGAAAGAAACATATTATTTCAGATAAAGACGTCACAATGAGCGTTTGGACGATCGTAAACTGTGACTGCAGTGACGCTTTTGGTCTCGCACGCCGCTAATGCATGGTGTTTCAGCGAAGTCTTTCAAAAATTCCTAAAAATAAGGTTGTCGAGAAAAAACATAATCTCTTTCCGGAAACGAACTGACAGCCACGACGGACGACATACTAATCACCTAAAAATTACTAATTATATTTTAATTAGTCTAAATAAACATATGGTTTCTATGAGAAAACTCATTTCGAAAAGGTATAGTCAAGAGCAGCATTTTACGACATTTTAAAAGAAAAAGAAACGCTTAATTCGGACGCGTTTTTAGGTTTCGGTTTTCTATCGGAGCGCATCTTTGCGCCAGCGGTCCTGTTGCCCGGTGGCCACAGCGACGCGCGACTTCGCGCCTCGGTCACCGGGGAAGAGCAGGACCGCTGGCGCAAAGATGCGCTCCAACGCCGCAAAATGCGGCCCCTGTCTTCCATCGTTGTAAAATGCGTTGATATAGTGGTCTTCGATGATGCAGAGCAAGTTACAAATTAGAATCATGTTTATTTTCGCTAATATAGACCATTTTCAAAAGTTGATCGAGCAACAGTGGCGGTCGCTTTGCTTGGATACGAAGCCCGTGATTGGATCCGAGATTTCGCCGAACGCTGACTTCAGCACTCGTGTCCAATACAAGATGTGAGCAAGCAGTGGCGGACAGGCGTTGGCGCGGACTTTTGAAAAAGGGTCTATTAAAAAGTCAATTAGGAAATGTTTTGCTAATTATTTAGATAAGTAGCATGTTTCTGCAATTCTTGACGTCAGCCATGGCTGGCATTTTGTGCACGGAGTGTTTCTCTTTTTCCCAGCCACCCTATTTTTAGGAATATTTGAACGCCTACGCTGAAACACCCGGAATACTGCACATGCTAAATATCCTCAAAGGGCGGTTCTTGGAATGGTCTACAGACTGTAATCGGCCTGTATTCGAGCTTTCAAGGGCGGGAAACGTATCTTCACCGCCGTTCTAGTCACTGGCAGAGCGTCGAGTTACGCGGGCATATTATTATCGTTCTGCAGCGAGTGAGACCGCGACGTTAGCCGACAAGAACGCCAAAAAGCGAAACAAGAAACGTGAGCATAAGCTGTGTTCGTTCTCCGTCGCCGCCCTGTTGGGGACAAGAGACCACAGCAGTGACATCCCGGCCCACGGTCTCACCTGATGGTGTGCAGAGCGATCTCGTGGCCTCCGGCGTAGAGCTCGTGGACGAGCTTGTAGTCTAGATACTCGGCGGAGGCGAAAAAGGTGGCAGCGATGGAGCAGCCGTTGGCCTTGTTCTTCCTCTTGAGGCCTCCGAGGAGCCTCTTGTAGAACAGCATGTTGGCAATGTTGATGTTGTCGTCGAAGGTCAGCATCACGAACTGTGGCATCCCTTTCACCGCGAGGCCCGCCGGAGGCGCTGTGCTGATGCAGGTGCAGCCGGGAGGCTTGCACACGGTGTCGTCGCAGTGACCGGTCGCCCTACTTTTCGTTGTGCCAGCCGTTACGCGTGCTGCCGCCTTGCTTTCCGTCGTAGCTGCGGTCGTTAATTCCGGAGTTGTCCGGGATGTCTGCAATCGCGAAGAAACAGAGGAACCCGTGGTGATCGCAGATATACCACTGTCCAGAGCCGGTTTGTGGATCGCACGCTGCGGATATATCTCGACCGGCGATTAACTTCCACAAGAGGAACTTTGAAGTCGCGTGATCGACTTTTGGGAACAAGGAACTATGGCATACCTGGCGTTGAATGCTGCCATAAGTATATTCTCGCTTAGATTCTTAAAGTACAATTTCTTCCGCAGAAGACGGATGAAGTGAGTCAAATAGACCGCGTTCGTGTACTTTAAGAGCGGCACGTTGGAGGGATACTGAACCGAAATTTCGAGCTCGCAAAACAAGGCTGGACGGATAGGCGGCACGCTGCAAAAACCCCAAAAGCATCACTCATACGGCGATATCTCTAACAGATCGCAGTATTTTTGGAAAAGTGAGCGATTGAAAACGCCCGACGAGACAAGTCACGTCACGATTCTCATTCCCTCTCCTCCTCTCTACGTCCTGTCCAGCTGATGAACCCAAGCGTGAAGGAGAGAAGCGAGGCCGCTTCTCCTCACTCTCAAACTTTCCTGGAGGAAAATGACGTCATAGCCCTCACTTGATCCCGCCCTTGATCGCACTCCGGAATCGGAATGATTCCGGAACCATTCCGCACTTTCGCTTCCCCGGAATCGAATGGGAATGGAATGGCGACGGTACTGGAGGGAGTGGAACAGGAATGGGATTAAATGCCTTTTGCCCGGAATGAAGTGGGAATGGAATTGGCTAAAATATTATGAGTTATGTGTCGATTTTAATCTAGGGTTTACAAGCTGATAGTGCAATTCCCCGGTAAGTGGCTCTTGAAACTGTATCGTTACACTTGGCATGTCTGATCCATGGCTTGATTGTATCATTGTCTTTACCCTTCTTCGAGGATGAAAATGGCGTGCCCTCAGTGAAATGAAGAAACCAAAACTGAATAGTTTTAGATTAACAAGGTGTCGTTTTTGGCGCCGCGCGACGTGACAAAACGACTGTTGTAGTCATTTGCGATTAGCATGTAGCTTTTAACCAGGGTGTCTAACCGAACCGAAAACCGGAGTAAAACCGTTTTCTTTTAAACTGAACCGGAACAAGACTGTAACTAAAATCAGACATTTGATTGGAAACGGTTCAGCGTAATGAAATGTGAGCTGCACCTTATTGCGGATGGTGGCGCGAAGCCAATCAAATATTGGCGATGTTGGCGTCAGCGGCTCAGTTTTGACTAAAGAAACGGCAGCGACGACATGAACAGAGCTCACTAGTAATGCAACAAATAAGTATGTTTCACCTCTATGTACAGCACGAATTGGCGTCGGCGTGGAGGTGTACACTTGTAGACTTGGTTTCACCATACGATGGACCGCAAAGGAACTTCCGCTTGGGCCGAGTGACGCGACAGGGAACGCGAAGTCGCGAGAAAAGCTACGAACTGCGGCAGGGCTGGTGTAGCTCGTGGCGTCCGTCGCGGTCCATCGTAAGATGAAACGGAGGATATACTGAATATGTCTAGGGGCTAAAGATATATCTGTGTGTGTTTGTGTGTGTCTGTGCGCGTGTGTGTGTGTGATGGGTGTTTTCTTGCTGCTAAGCAATATTTTTAAAGAAAGGAGAAAGCAAACCCTACCAAAAAATTCGGTATAACTTTTCGCTATCCGGATTATGGAACCGCGGAAATCTATCTGGATTCTACGTGGATTCTATCTGGAATTTAGGTTTTCAAACATTATTTCTTTGTCTGCAATCTGGATTGCGGGTGTTCAGAAACAAATTTCCGGTTCCATAATCCGGATAGGGAAAAGTTGTACCGGATTTTTTGTAAGGGAACGTAAACATCAAAATAAAAACAAAAAATTGACGGCTCTCGGCACCCTTGTTTAGAGGTTGCGAAATCTAGAGGCGCCAAGAGGCGAAGCCGCGACAAGGGCGACACTGCGCCGCCAGTCGCCGGGACGGCAGTCGCCCAAAACCCAAAACGCTGCTTGAGTCTTTTTGTGTGTGTGTGTGTGTGTGTGTGTGTGCGTGTGCGTGCGTGCGTGCGCGTGCGTGCGCGTGTGCGTGTGCGTGTGTGTGTCTGTGTGTGTGTGTGTGTGTATGTGTGTGTGTGTGTGTGTGTGTGTGTGTGTGTGTGTGTGTGTGTGTGTGTGTGTGTGTGTGTGTGTGTGTGTGTGTGTGTGTGTGTGTGTGTGTGTGTGTGTGTGTGTGTTGTTTTCTAGAAACGGCAAGTCGCCGGTTGTAGTTTTGCCTGTTTTTGTTTTAATCGTCCTTCGATGGGTCTCCGCCATCTTCGCTGTCTTTCCCGTCTTCAACTCAGTCGTTTGAGCAGGTCGTTCGGGCGTGCGGTGTGGGTATAGTTTGCCGCTTGGACCTGGATGAGCATCGTACCGGCATGCGGTCGTGTATCAGTACTGCGGGATATCCGATAAGGACCACCCCACGCTAGCAGTCCTACTGCACTGGATAAATGTTTCATCTACACTGCGTAACAATGTCGCCATACTCAGGCATACTTAACAACTAACGACTAATTTTTTTTGTGGGTTGCGGGTATGATGCGTGCTACCATCAGGGTGTCAATATCCGTGCTGGCCGATTGATTTCACATGTGAGTACTGTACTTTGGTACTGTTTCCAAGCGCCTCTAGAACCACGTAATTTTCATCGAATGGTGTTTTAGTTAAAAATTCAAGCCAGCAGCACGGCTTCTGGTGGCCTATTTTTTAATGCAGATGACGCCGTGTTTTACTAACCTTTTCTTCTTAACGACTGGGAGCTGTGGACCTTTTTTTTTCTAAGAACCGGTTTAAACTGGTTCGCGTTTGGTGGAACCGGTAACCGAACCCTTACTTCAAAAGCATCACTGAACCAGAACCAAACCGGAACAAAATGCAATGCTGCTGAACCCGAACCGAACCGGAATAATGACCGGTTCAACTCCCTGCTTTTAACCCAGGTGATCCTCTATAGTGTTGGCGTGGAACCTCCATGGATCGGAAGAAGGCCGAAATTGTGAACGCCGTCCAGGCGCGTGGCCAGGATTTTGTTTCCGGGGGCGGGGGAGGGGGGGGGGGGGGCCGCCCATGACAAAATGTTATACCAGGGGGAGGGGGGGAGAGGAGGTCCCAGCAAAATGGAAGATTTCGGAGGGGGCCCGGGCCCCATGGACCTCCCCCCTGGCTACGTGTCTGACGCCTGCTATTTCACGTTGGAGGTCATTGACAACCCATGCTTCCTTTGCAAATCTGCATGTTGTTCTGCTGCCGTGTACACAAGCCTACATCGACCCGTGGACCGGCATGTCAGAGGCCGTGAGACCTTTCTCGCCATTTGTGTCAGACGTTACTGCTTGAACGCGATAGACACTGCGAGGAGCAGGCGATGCTCTTGCTCCCTCTGACTGGAGGGAAACGGTGGTTATAGACGAAGGCATCTAGCCTTTGCTTCTACCCACTAATCCCTTCAATCAGAGCTCGGCACTTTGACACGCACGCTCTCATCTCCTCCTCTTTCTCAGTTTCTTTCCGCATTGGCATGTGTCAGCTAAGCTGAGTATATCAAAAGTTATCTGCGGCATTTTTCCTTTTAGGTCATTATAACTTGCTGGTTGTCTCTTTACGCTCGTATATTGAAGCTCGCTGGAATCATTTCTTTATTTCAAGTGTACTACTTTTAATTTTTCTCAGTCTTAGATGAGACACCCTGTATATTTGCTCGAGGAGGCTCTATGTTTTTAATTATGAATTGACTTATTCATTCATTCATTCATTCATTCATTCATTCATATATTTCCTTCCCACAGTGGCTAACGGCATTACTGTGGGAGGGAGGAGGGATATTTCCAACAAGAATACACACAAAAAAAGAACAAAAATGAACATTCCAGAAAGCGCACATGCACACATTTAAAGGGGCCCTGCAAGGACTTTTTTACTGGTTTTTAAATTGCACCAAACCTGAGCGCACTGAAAGCAGTAACTTAATGAAACTTTTCTTGAATTTCGCTTTATTTTAAAAGTGATAGGCAAATTAAAATTACAAAAATAGGCAAAAAATAACCTCGTTCATGACGTCTTTGGTTGCTCGAGTGGCCGTGAGCTAGAGGAGGGGTAGTGAGCTCAGCGAGAGGACACGTCTGCCGCACTCCGTGTCGACGGCTCGAGAGGGCGCCACTAAAGCATGTCCTGGCTTGGCTGTATGCAGTGGGCAGCCAGGGCGGTTCGCATCGCATTTGCTGCGCGATTAAACACTTATTTGGCATGACACTCCGTTGGCCACAAACGACAGCAAACACAAGGTAAAGATCAGTTCAGAACGGGAGCCACTTCGCGCTGCCATACCGCCAAAGCTGCTCGCCGAAGGCCTTGGGAACGCTCGGAACCGGTCGGATCCTCCAGTCGATACGACCGCAGCGCCGCCGAGTACATCCGGGACCTTTCTACGCTCGCGGCTCGTTCGTGCCTGATCCCACTATCTTCGTAGTATGGGTCACCTTTTCCACCGCTTGGTGGCGGGTATGTCGAGGGGTCATTTATTGTTTACGTACTTTTTAAACTGCATTCGCTTCTTTTCTGATCTAAAATAGTGAACAAAAACTACTTTTATAAATAATTGAAACGGTTCGCTACACATATATTTTGTATTTCGACTAAAAAGAAGCTTTTAGCGACTCGGACAAGTAGTAAGCCGAGGACAAAAGACATCACATTTTGCGGATTTTCGGTACAGCGGGTCGCCCCCGTAGGTGGAGAAGGTTTCCGCGTCGTCGGGTTAAAATGTGACGCACTGATATTTAGTCACTCTCTCGGTGCCCGTTGGCTTGCCCGAACCCCAGGAGACGTGGAAACCGCGAAAAAAAAGGTAGACGCTTAAATATAATTTCAGGGCCCCTTAGAGAAGATCACACAAAAGGGACATTCGAAAAAAAAAAAAAAATCTCAGAATACGATCAAAAAAGCCACCATGTCTAGCATTTTTACATCCTCTGAAGACAGTTGGTTCCATTCGCAAATAGTTTCGCCGATAACCGTTGAGTCGTTTCAAGGCGCGATTTCAGCTTAGAATATATAGCTTATACAGCTCCAAACGCTGAGCGTCCGGAGAGACATCAGATTGTGGCTCGCCTTTTCTACGGCTACCCGACCCCTAATTAAGCCGGGACGTCGAGCCGACCCTACATCACGCAAAAACAAAAACGAAAAACAGTCTGCAAACATTGTTTGACTCGAGGTTCTTTCTCGTATGGTGGTTCCGTCATATTGGTCGAGAATAGGGAGTTTTCGTAAATCGTTTTTGCCGTCCCGCAACGGCCTTCCGCAAGCCGCTACGACACCCGGATCTCTACAGTCGAGGCCATCAGGGCGCAGGCGCAGTAGCGACTTCTTCGTTGCGGAGGGCTTAGCGGAGGGGGAAACGCGGTCTACGAACACTCCCTAATCGCTCATTACAGTTTTAGGCCCGATCGCAGCCGAAGCCACGATCTGACGCAACCAATCAGGCGGTGTAAAAACTGCATCGTCACGGTCAGGTCTCTGCGTGATCAGACGCAGTGAATGTAGACTCGTGCGGTACTCGTTGCAAGTAATCAAATTTCTCGTGATCGATTACTTTTGGAGTAATTGTGTAATCGCGTACATATTTATTAGGAAGTAATCGCAAGAGTAATCTGATTACACTTATGCAAGTACCAAAATTATCTTGTGGTCGTTACTATTTTTCTTTCTCTCTCTCTCCTTCCTAACGGCGCCCTCTCTTTTACAAGTTTCCTACCGAGGAATCTTCGAACCAAGTCTCCGACACGAGGGTTGCTTACCAAGTTGAGTGACGTGGCGACATCGGCAACGTGGCGACATCCGCGACGTGGCGACATCGGCAACGCCGATCGGTTTCGAGTGCGAAGCTCCGTTTCGATCCAGCGGAACGACATCGTCGCGAGGTGGCAAAAGTATCTTCCCTATTGGCACGAAACTGAGAAGGGTAACGAAAAAATGTTCTACTTCCTGTCGTCGAAGCTAAAAGGCTGACGGCAGGGACGATTGTAACTTTGTACCAGGAAGCCTCGATGTGCGATAATAGTGGGACGAGGCAATCATATTGCTTGTGACAGGAAACTAGAACTCATCATGTGAGGGCAAGTTGCCTTGAAAAAATCCTGCCCTCATATGATAGCTTCCGGTCATAGTTAGCTAGATTGCAAAACGTTGGTTTCCCACCCCGTGCTAGTTGTGATGTTGCAGAGGGTTTGGTCAAAAAGCTGAAAGGGCTTGGCAGGGGAGAGCATGGCTAGCAGGGCGAGGCGAGAAGTCAGACCTGTAGTCGAGCCACATGTGCACAAGGTTTCCCATAACCTGAAGAAGGTGGCAAATAAATGTCTCATTCAGGGTTTTTTTTTTTTTTTTTTTTTTTTGTGCCAAGCACATTTTTTATGTTATGTAAAAGAATAAGCAAAACAGAAGGAGAGTCAGGGGAGGCGGAAGAAGTGTGCATCAAACCTCATGCCACGAAGTTTCGTGAGTGCGCCATGGGGGTCACCTATGAAACCCCTCTGTCATGCGGTAGGGTCTACGTGGACCAGACTGGGAGGTGCCTCAATGATAGGATTGGAGATTGCCACCAAGCTATCTCCGTCTGGACATTTGGCTGTACACTACGATGGTTGTGAATGCCAACCGGAGTTCCATAGGCCTGGGGTTGTGAGAGGATTCAAAACGCAACTGGAGCGTGAAATACATGAGGTCTTCATGATAATTGAGCCTATGATTCGAATGTTTTTATCAGCACACCCTATATTGCCGTCTCTTACAAGGAACAGGCCTTTCTCAGACAAGCTTTAGACACTTACAAGTAACGTCCGGCATCTGTGTGTGTGTGTTTTTTTTATCTAAATGTATTTTTTTGGTGCGCATGGCGGGGAGGGGGGGGGGGGGAGGAAGCTTAATATTTTTATGTGTGTGCTCTATTAAAATTAAGTAGCATGTTATGCCCTGTCCTGTGTGCCTTTCTATTCTGTCCTCGCTTTTTTCGGCGTATTTCCCGCCATGTAGAGAAAATCACTTTCTGAGAGGTATCGCCAAAGCAAGTTTTTCAGCAGAATTTTGATAACTGATTTGCATCAACGCGAATTATATGTATTTTTGTTTTATTTTTATGTAGTTTTCCTTTTTTAAATTTAAATTGACAGACAACACTGAGAAAGATACGATACACTTAATTTGGACACTGCGGTGCCTGTTCTCGACGGGTAAAGAACTTTGATGATGCATAATGAATGACGTACAATGAGGAAAAGCTTCAACGGCATATGAAAAATGACTCATCACGGCATTTGAATTTGGTTTCTCCCTTGATGTGGACGATTTCTTTCATCCAATCCCTCACAACAGTTTGTTCACGGCTGTAAAATAATGTACATAAAACATGGTTCAGTGAACTTTCAGAACAAATCCGGATTGCATTTGGCATGTTGAAAAAATTAACTTTTGCAGATCGAAAAAAAAAAAAAAGTCCGACATATTGTGCTTCGGGCTGCCACGCTCGGCCAATATTATCTAAAAGACAAGGCCCTATGCCTTGTTTTCTAGGTGCCGGAGCTCTCACTATAGACCCCTTTCCCCCTTTCCAAAAAGTCTGACAACAGTGAAAAGTGGCGCGGACGCCATCTTGAAGGATGCTCCCGGTGTGATTATGTAGCCCCAGTACGAGTTTCGTTGTGTGCTGAGGAGGTTGTGGGTGAAGTACAACTGCCATTTCTTTATCACGCTTTTTTTGTATGTTCCGGTGATGCGCTCGCAGCCAGGGGCGACCCTCAAGACGGGCGACCTCGGCGGTCGACCAGAGCGCATCGAAAAGGGGGCGCCGACGCGCCCCCCTTGAATTTATTTTTAGCTTGTTCATTTATTGAATAACGGCGCTCGACACGGCGCTATATGTTCTATGACCAATCGTTTTGGGAATACAGTTTTTGTTTGGCGAAACGCTCGTGTTAGGCTACTATTCAAATGTTTACCAACAATGACATGTCGTATACCTATAGAAGATAGGGGCGTATAAAAGGGGGGGGGGGGGGGGGCATAGCCGGAGTTTGCCCTTGGCGCTTGATGGTGTAGTGCCGGTCCTGCTCGCCGCCAAATTGTTGTGAAAAATGAGTGAGTGTTTGTGGCTTCGCGAGTTGAAAGGCTTGCGGTTGCATCATCCTATTATTCTAGAGTTCATTCCCGATCAGTCTCGAGCTTATGTAACACGCAGTGCACAGTTGTCAGCGATCCAGTGACTACGAGCTCACCCATTGCTAGTCCTCTGACAAACAAACTCGCCAGCAAACTACAGACAGCACTCGAAGCCGGTAGACTTCATGTCTAGAAGCGGGTTTGCGAAAGCAGTGTCCATTTCTGTTTGCTTGAATGGCGTTAGCACATCATCTGTGCAGACAGCTTATGTAAAAGTCAAATTTTATTTTTGTGCGATTCTCATTGGGCTGTTTTTAGGTTCTGCCACAGACCCTAAGAATAGCACGCAAAGAAATAAAGTCCCTACCTTAAAATTTGTTGCACGAAATTAATTTTAATGCATTGTCCAATAAGTCGTATGCGCGGCCGAACGTAGTTGCTAAAGCGATGGATCCTCAGAAAACAATTGCTACATGTATTAACTACAAAAATTATGCCAACGTCACTTTGAATTACACTTGGAATTGTGAACGCTGCCATTCATTAGCTGTCTAAACCTGCCAGACAAGCACGCGAGGCCGTAGTTTTACATATCGTACGCGTGTAGAAGTAACGCCTCCACACGAAAAAAGTCGTGTTCAAACCGTGTTAAAAAAAAAATACGCACAGTTTTCATGAGTAACAATGGTAACTCTTTCTGTAGTGTATCCTGCTCACTTGAAAATCTCCGTGTCAATCGCAGAGAGCGGGCAATCATCAACCCAATCATGGCTGACTTTTAGTTTGCACATAACGGCAGAAGTTAAGACAAATACAGTTTCTTCACTAATTCGGGCAACCACTGCCCATCTGACTTTACACAACAAAATGCGAGTGTTGCTATTAGTGTTGCAACATTGAAACATGCGCAGACTGGCTTGAGCGACGCGGTGTCCTTCAAGATGGCGTCGGGGGCTAGTTGCCTTTCCGTACGAGAGACGGAACTCTCTTACTAAATGGGTCTATAACGAAAATGCTACTTTGTCCAATCTATATTTCACGCTCACCTGGTTTATGTCACCAGACGACGTGTTCCCGACATTCGGCGGCTTTTGGTCCGAGGAGTCGAGGTCTGTTGTCAGCTTGGTTTCGCCACTCTCTTCCAGAGCCTTTGTTGCGACAAAGGCGACATGTCCATACACGACCACCAAAGTGACAATGCAAATTTTTCCCGTGTGCATTGCTCACGCCGCCTAGAACCGAAACCTGCGGTGCCCGAAAGCCCGCAACGCCGATTTTACCTGAATCCCCTATCTATATATCGTAACTGGCTTCGAGAGATTACAGCCACCCTATCTTGTGCATGCCAAACTTCGTTTCATCATAACTTGGCAAAGAGCAAACGCTACGGCCCCTTCCAGCCAATCACTGCGACGGAGACAAACCACGTGACAGCCCCTACAAAAGGCACAGGGGGAGCGTAACACAAGCAGTTGAAGGAGGGGGAAAGAAGGAACTCTCCTCTTACTCTGATCTCTTTTGTGTGTGTCCTAAACGTCACCCCCCCCCCCCCTAAAATATTAGCCCATCACTCGAAATGTGTGCAAAAGCGACTTTCCTTTCTCTCTTTCCCGCCCGTGGCTTCGGCAGCACTGCGTGCAACTGCTGAGATAGAGTACAGTCACGTGTCTCATTCCGACGTGCTGATAGGCTGGCTGGGTCCATGGCCTTCACTGTTCGCCAAGCTACGGTGAGGGGGGGGGGGGGGGGGGGGGAATATTGACGAAGTGGTTGGTTCAACGATCTGACGGAATCCCTCAAACCGTGTCTCTGGCATATCGGGCCTTAACCCTGTTTTGTTGTGGAGAATGTTTGCTGTAAAGAAAACAATGGTCTAAAATCGAGAGTTCGCAAATGTTTGCTTCTTTTCACTTGTTTTCATCGTGCAGTTTTTCATGATCTTGCACACGCGGCAAACAAACACATGCGATATTGTCCGTATATATGTGTATACCTGCAAAAATATACAAAATAAATCACGGATCTTATCTTGAACAAAGTGTGATTGCTTCAAACGTGTTCAACTAAGTGTCCAAAGACCTCGAAAGCTATTGTGTCGAGGTTGTAGACTTGAGTTTTTGTTTCCTTGTTGTCTTTCAGCAACCGCACGACGATTCCGTCATGCTTTCCCAAGTCGAAATTTTTGCAAGTGGTACAATTTGCTAGTGGTTTATTGAACTCGTACCACTAGCAAGTGGTACCACTTGATAGTGCTACCACTTCCCAGTGGTACCTGTTCAATAAACCACTTGGAAGTGGCACCACTCGTGGTACCACTTGCTAGTGGTACCACTTGCTAGTGGTACCACTTGCTAGTGGTACCACTTGCTAGTGATACCACTTGCTAGTGATACCACTTGCTAGTGGTACCACTTGATAGTGATACCACTTGCTAGCGGTACCACTTGCTAGCGGTACCACTTGCTAGCGGTACCACTTTCTGGTGGTACCGCTTGGTAGTGGTACTACTTACAAAGAGTAGCATTCTCATATAGATACACAAAAACAAAGCCAGATGTTAGTCTTTCTTATTTTTATTTTTCAGTTGAGAGTGGTAGTAAGAAGTACCTGGGTTGAAGATTAAAAATCCTCAAAACCCAGGCGCCTCAGAGCTTTTCGGGTGTCCTGGACCTGTTGCGACAGGACTGTCGTCATGTTAGTGATGACTTGCTGAACAGGCTCCTTGTTCTGGTGCCCCCAATGTTGAACTGTTTCTGCAGACAACAGAAAAATACTAATCTAATAACAGCTCTTGAGGATACAGTCATATCATTGAACAGATTGAACTCAACTAAAGTGGCGAAGCGGGCGAGTTGGTTCATGACAAAATGTAAAAGCGCTAACAAAGACCAGGACGAAAAAGGAAGGCGAACAGTACGAGCGCTTACTCTCAACTGAACATTTATTTAAAAACAGCTAAAGCAAACAACCTCCGATAAAAATACACTGAATCACTCAGTAGCGTCACTCCCCATCACCACGCGTCAATAAAATCACTCTTTTTTTGGTGCAGAAAATTGACGGCTGACTGACGCAGCCTTCAGTGCCCTATTTCTTTAGAGCATGCGCCTCAAGCCCTTCCCTAGCAGCTTTTTCACAGGCCCTCCCCACGATCGTGGTATTTTGAAAGTTGGGCTGGCACAGACAGTCTCTGCAATGAAGAGGCAAGTGTCCTCCAGGTGTTGAGCGTGAAGCCATGCTCGCGCATCCTCTCATTTACGCACCGTCCCGTCTGGCCGATGTACACCCTACCGCATGTCAGCGGTATTCTGTACACCACGCCCACGTTACAATCTACAAATCTTTTGGCATGATTGATGGTGCATAAGCGCGCGTCGTTCTTTTTTCTTGAATCCGCGGGCATAATTGGGCCGACTTACATGGCGCCGAAAATACAAGCGGCCCATCAAATCTTTTTGCCACCTTTTTTAAGTTATGTGAAATTTTGTGCAAGTAGGGAACGACCTAAAATCTCGTTCTTTTTTGTTTTTATTTTTTTATTTTGACATTTGCCCTTTATCTTTTTTAGCAGCGTCTCTGCAACTCCAAGGAGAAGTGAAGTTGGATAACCGGCATCTCTAAGTCGATTAACCTGCAGGCTGAAGCTGCCACGCACAACATGGTAGCATGACTTCTGAAGCGCCGCCTGGAGACAAGACGAAGCAATACCCCTTTTTTACTAATTTGAAATGTGCCGAATCGTAGGCGATGATTCCCTTTTTGGAGCGCGGGTGGTAACTCCAATACACGTGGTTTCCCGTGAACTGCAGTCTCAAGTCTAGAAACTGGAGAAACTGGACGTCCGGGAGTTCGTGAGTAAACTTTAAGCCATTTGAGTTGTCATTAAACACTTTTAACACGCTCTCAACAACCTGGCGCGTAAAAAAATTGTCAGTATGTTACCATATGCACCAGATAGTCGCCCACATACCGAACAACCTTACGCACTGGTTTCCCTTCCAAGCCAATCTGAACAGATCGGTCGAACTTGGCTAAGAAAATGTCCCGAAGGACAGGGCGACGCAAGATCCTATACAAATACCTTCTTTTTGCACATATTAAGCGCCCTCGAAAAGAATGAGGGTGGGCTGCAGGTAAAACTTCCCTGTCACCCCTGTCTTTTGTGACATTTTCTTAGCCAAGTTCGACCGATCTGTTCAAACATTGACGCAATGTCCCATTTAACGACCATAAAACGTCGAGTATACGTCTAAACTGAACGGGATGCCAATGGAGAACGTCATATTAACGATATCGTAAAATTTCGATCGCACGTCTGTGATAACGTTATGTCAATGTTGAAATAACGTCCTATTTAACGACCATAAAACGTCGAGCATACATCGAGACTGAACGGGATGTTCAGTCTCGATGTATGCTCGATGTATGCTCTCGTCCTGGGTCACCGTGGAACAATGGAGTCAACCGGATCTGGCTTCGGTGCTCGAAGGTATGTTCGCGAAACATGTACAGGATGTCGCAAAAAAAAAAATTACAGGGTTTTCTTTTTACCGCTAAAATAAACTAGGCATCGCCGAACGCTCATTCTTCGCCCAAAGGTAGCGCTAGAGGTCACCACCAGATGCCAAAGTTTCAGCACGATCCGATACCTTATTCAAAAGTTGTGATTTCTGAAACTTTCAATGAGAAAATGGAGCCCATTTTTGCCCGTTTTCGGTTTCTGGCGATCATAGAGCCCCATGTATTCGAAAACTCCGTCGGCCGCCATTTTCCCATCGGAATTTTCAGGAAATCACTTATAACTTTTGAATAAGGTATCGGATCGGGCTGAAACTTCGGCATCTGGTTCTGACCTCTAGCGTTACCTTGGGGCGGAGAATGAGCCTTCAGTGATGCCTAGTTCATTTTTGAGGTAAAAAAATTCCTGCAACCAACGAGACAAACGGCGAGATAAAAAGAAAGTTTTGGTTGGCGTTTTTGAGGAGCCGCTCGGTGTGAAAGTAAGCACAGTTGAAAGAATCACAGACTTGGAAAGAGACGCGAAAATAAGATTCGTCCAGTCATCCTGAAGCTTTTTGACTACAACGAAAAAATAGAGATATTCAAAAATTGTAAAAAATTGATTTCTCTGAAGCTACATTACGAAAACGAAAACTTTTGTGGGAGAGTGCAAAAATAGAAAAAGACGGGGGCTCGAGGGTAAGGCTTGTGCACGACAAGATTCTGGTTAATGACGCAACATTTGTCTGGGACGACGAGAGTGCATGCAGAGTTAGACTTGACAAGGAAAAGGTAAACGAAAATGAAATCGTATGACAATGCGAACAAAGAACTAGGGACTTTGATCAATATGAATGCACGCAGTCTTGTAAAAAAAGGTAGCTCAATTTGAACATCTTATCTACCACAATCCTGATGTAGTTATCGTTACGGAAACTTGGTTGCGGCCGAAGATAGAAGATTCTGAGATAATTCCTCCTGCTTACAAAATTATCCGTAAAGACAGCGATGCACGTGGGGGCGGTGTTGCGATTGTTATTAAAGAGGGAATAGAGTTTGTAGCCATGGCTGATAACCCTGTTAATGAAAGTGTTTGGTGTAGAATGCAATTGTGTTGTGCATCTTGTGTGATAGGAGCAGTTTATAGACCCCCTAACGCCCCTTTGTCCTTTTTAGAGTCAATTCAAGATTACCCGTGTAATACTATCACTGCAAACACGCGTGCCATTGTAGCAGAAGATTTTAACATGCCTGGTATACAATGGGAAAAGCTAGAAATAGGAACAACTGATGTTAGGCATTGCGAGACACTATTAGATATTGCATTTAGTCATGACCTCACGCAAATTGTGACTGAAGTAACCAGGATCGGACCATCGACACAATCAATATTAGATCTCGTATTCATTGACAACAAAATCACCCAGTACGATGTTTCCGTACTTGATGGAATTTCCGATCACAAACTCGTTTTGCTTTGTATAAAGCAGGGCTTGCCACCAAAGCGTGAAAAAAGACAAACTATTCTTGTCAGAGAGTTTCATAAGGCTCATGGTGTAAGCATTTTAGACCATTTGGAATTGCCTTTGTACTTGTTTGATGGAGCAACTGACGTTGACATACTCTGGAATAAATTTAAATTCATAATTAACTTTCGCCTAGAAAACTTTGTTCCACAGCGGGTCAAAACAGTAAAAAAGCGAAACCCCTGGGTAAACCG